ATATATATATATATATATATATATGTATATACACACATACGTGTACACACACACACACACACATATAGTCTTTACTAAAAAGTTGGTCATGAAAATTTACAGGATCTAAAACACTAAATTTTTAACTCATATTCTGAAAAAAATACAAGGGCTGGGGACATGGCTCAGGGCAGAGTTTGAGCTTTGCATGTTCGAAGCTAGGGATTAGTTTCCAGGGAAGTTGTGTGTGTGTGTGTGTGTGTGTGTGTGTGTGTGTGTGTGTAGAGGAGATATAGCCCACGAATGAGAGCAGGGACCGGGATAGGGGGACACTGTTTACAGTCCACCCACCACAGCTATTTTTACCTGGGATGCTACCCAGTGATAACACTGAGCGGTGAGCGCATAAGCAGCATGGCGTCATCTCCATGTTTACTTTCTCAGTGGGAAAGGGGATGACTCACTCTTATATGGCAGTGTACATTTTATGGTGCGCAATAAAATGAAATCATAGGAATTAAGCTAATCTGAACATTCAATTTAAAAGCAAGACTCACAAAAGTAGAAAACCATGGCCAACAGACAGCCCATCCAGCCTAGGATGACAAGACCCTATTTCCCCTTGCGCCCACAACTCCGAATGTAAGTGGGCACCTGCCAAGTGGCAAAGGCTCCACAGCAGCCAGTTTCTTTGGTGACCAGCAGCCAAATACTATTCCTGACTGAAACTGCCTGACCTCACCTCAGAAATAAGATCATCTTCAGCATCCTGACCAGCCCAGAGCCTTGGGGTGGGGGTGGGGTGATAAAGATGGGGGGGGTGAGCTGTGTTTGAGAAAGCCTTCTCAGACATCACAGTCCCATTTATGTACACCCACAGGGAACTCTGTGTCTTTCCCTTGGAAAGTTTAATTTAGCTTGCAATCCCATAGTTGATAATCATCTTACTAACAGTTGCCCTTCCCTCAAAGTATCTGTAAGCACCAGGAGAGCAGGGTCCTTGTCTGGTCTCATTTACTGCTTGGTTCCCAGGAGCTGGTGTGCAGAAAGGCTCTACAAGCATTTAAAGTGAATGCTGATGTTTTCCCCATTTTATCCACCCACGTCTCTGTTTATAAGTCGTGCACAACCGCTCATCAGTCTTGCACTTGTAACTATCCCATTTGCCTTCACTCTCTAGTTCTCTTAATTCTGCAGAAGAGGGGGCATCTAATGGCCTGAGCTTTGTGAGATCCAGTTCAAGATGGCGGTGCTTGAAGAAAAACAAAGGACATGAAGATGCCAGAGTAGACTGAGGTTACTTTAAACAGTTTACACAACTTCGAAAGAACCTCTTAATTCAGTGAAAAATAAGATCAATTACTCTGCTTTAACCCACAAAAACAGTTTGATTTGTTGATCCTGGAAAAGAGTTGATGACGTAGATTGTCAGCATGAAGCCCACATGTGTGGTCCCTGAGCAAAACTCAGGGTCTGAATGACAGGGTTCCTCCCTTCTCAAAGATATGGGCCTGCGCCCCCTCACTGCTTCCTGGTCTCCATTTCCTCCTTTGTGTCTTCTCTTTCCCCTGCCTATCCCAAAGCCTTGCCCCATTCATAGGGCCAATTTTAAACTCACTTTTCCAGGTCCCCTAGAGGGAAAACCCCAAGCAGGCTGCTTCAGGGGGCCTGGAGCCCAGGTGGGCGGGAAAATGAAGTGTAAATCGGCGGTGAAATGCTTGATTTAAATTCTTGCCTGCAGAGAGTCTGAGAAGACACTCTTCCTCAGCTTCCCTCAGCGGTGCAGAGCGCAGGCACCACTGGCCTGCCCTGGGAAAGCCTGGAAAACAGGCGGGAATTCCCGGGGGCTCTCTCCCAACATGCCCCAGTCCCAGCCTCTGGAAGGCAAGCAGATCAGTCTCTCCTGAGGTGGCCCCTTTTGCTGAGGACCACCGCGGTAGGAGACCTTCCTAGGGCAGGAAGGAGGTAGATAAGGAGGATGGAACTCAGCATGCGCAGGCATTAGGAAGGAAACAAGTTTCTAGACAGACACCAATCATTGGTGTTACTTAGCATTTTCAAGTACATATGACCAACATACCACGATGTCAAAATAATAATTTCATCAGTGTTTTTTTTCCTCCAAAGAATATGGGGGCTGGTAAACAAACACCCTAATTTGGAGCCACCGAAGCAAGCGCCTCGGTAGGGTAGTTGGCAGTTGATAGGCACACACACACACACACGCACACGCACACGCACACGCACACGCACACGCACACGCACACGCACTGCAGAAAGCTGCCTCTCTCCTTGCCACCGGGAAAAAGTTCTCTCTGACCGTGCACAGGGACTAAAAACGAAACGGAGGCGCAAGACACACCCCACAGCCTTGTTTTAGTGTGAAACGTATCCGTCCTCGGGGGGCGACCCTGCTGTTTCCAAAGCCTGGCATCCAGGGCTCCCAGGTCAGAGCTGCCGCTGCTCCCCTCCAGAGCTCCAGACCCTGTCAAGCCGCCCTCTGCTATGCAGGTTCGCCGTACCCGCCCCCCTGGTCGTCCCCGGGCCCTACCTGGAGTCCTTGTGCGGCTCCTTGCACTGGGACACCTGCTGGACCTCTGTCTCCCCGGGACCAGCTGGATGCTGAGCTCAGGATGTGGCACCTGCCTGCCAGGCTTGCGATGCCAAGTTCAAGTTGGTGGAGTGGCTTGTTACCATCTGAAGCTCCCGGCTCGCCCTGGGTCGAGCCACTGCCTCCCGCAGACCCTCTGTCGGCCACCGTGGCCCAGCCCGGGGCTCCGCCCCTTGACTGCTACCCGCCTGCGGGCTTCCTGGGGTCCCTGGCCCCCCAAGCCCCTCGGAGCACACTTATGGTCCGCGCCCCAGCCCTGCCTGGAGCCTGCCAGGCTCCTTCGATGGCTCTGGTCAGCCGGAGCTGAGCTGAGCGCTCCGGAGCCGGGCGCTGCGGGTGCGGACGTCCCTCCCCCCAGGCTATCCGTCGGGTTTGGTACCTAGGGGACCGAGAGGTCCAGCGCTCAGGTCCTCCTGTCTGCGCCTCGGCGCTGGCGCTAGCAGTTCCCAGGCCTCCGATCCTGCTCCTGCGGTTGGTCGGGAAGAATCCCCCTTCTCGCTCCTCCCTGGAGATGGAAAGGGAATCACAAGCCGACCTACGTCCTGTTCCAGAGGATGGGACACTTTTTTCCTAATAAAGATCCAGAAACTCACAGTGTAATAAACACTCTTAGGCTTTCTGCTAGACTCCAGCGTTGCCTCAGCGGGGCTGTTCCCAAACAGCTCCCTCTCCCCACTGTCCCAGGGGATCAGGTAAGCCTTGCCCCTGCGCCACTGCGTGCTCCTTGAAGACAGGAGCCCAGCCTGGCTCAGAGTTGTTCTCAGGGCCTGGCACAGCGCCTGCCACTCATCAGGACGCTCCAATTAGGTAGAAAATCAATTTACTTCGTAGAAACTCAGCTTTGGCTTTCCAGCCCTTAAGCCTACTTGTGCCCGTGGGTAGGCAATTGGATAACACACACACACACTGCACAAAAAACCTTTTTGTAGTAATTTGTAGTAATTCCCCGAACAAAACAATGTTTAGATGCAAATGTACATAACGGTTCATTTTTTTTTAAATAAAATAATAATATTTAAACAGCGGTAAGGTGCTTGCCCATGCAAGCATGAGGACCTGAGTTCAAGTTCCTGGAATCTTTCTGAACCCTGCTGGGTAACAGGTCTGCAATGTCTCTACATTGCAGGGTTTCTACATCAAGATGGGAAACCTTAAGGCAGCCAGCGTGTTTACAGAACTGCAGACACTATCTGGAGCGAGTGGAAGGTCAGCACACGTGAATGTGCACCCCCCCCACACCCCCAAATAAAAACACAAGAAGCGGACGACATCAAACCTACCAATAGAAAATAGGTTAAAGAAATTAAGGTAGTGTGGCCTAATGGTAGAATACACAACCATTAGAACACAGACATGGAGACTTTAGTGCCTCCAAGTCTTAGCACACACAGATAGTGTTTATTTGTAAGGAAAATAGTGAAAATACAAAGTGACATGTTAAAATGTTTACAAAATAATGCCAGGCCACACACACGAACCTAAGCAGAAAATTGTTCCTGGGCTTAATCAATTATAGATTCCTACCCTGTCAACATGCAGATCAACTCCGATCTCAAGGGATGCTTGAATTATTGAATAAGAAATTTGAAAAAAAAAATGCTATGCATAACGGGTAGTGCTCAACAACATAAAGTTTCCATTTTGTCTCTTTTTAGGAACACAGACTCAAGTCTGTACTGTTAAGTGTATCCTTCCGGTGGCCTGGATCTGCCCACTCGGCTTCCCACCATTTGCTTGTGAGGTAGGAAATGAGGCTGAGCAAATATTCAAACCCCAGGGAGGTGGAGAGCGTGGCTAAGAAGATGAAATGTTCCCGTCTGCACACAGTGCAGGGAGCATTGCAGGCGACAGGGTGGAAAGACTGTCAAAGGGTGCTGTTGGGGAGGACGGCTGCAAAACAGTGCCTTCTGGATACAACAATGGCTATCAGGTTTATGCATTCACAGTGGCTCTGGCTGCCTGGGCACAAGCCACACAAGATCGGGCCAGTCAAAAAGCTGGCACAGATGGGAGCTTTTGTAGTTGAGGGTTGGAGAGTCAGTTCTGTTTAGGGGAGTGTCCTCCCTGGACTCCAAACAGCCAGAAATATGAGTTTGCAATATAGGATTTGACTCAGTAGCAGCAATCATCAAACCGTCCTAGCAGTTATTAAAGATACAACATGCTTTGAACACAGGACTTGGGAGGACTGAGCTGGACCCTGGAAGCCTCCTTCCTGAAGACTGGCTCTCATGGTATTAGAGGATGCTGTGCAAGCTGCCAAGGGAGAGGAACAAATGATGGTCCTGTCTGGCTGCAGAGCTTTTGAACACAACAATGAGTGTTTCAGCAAGATACCCACAATGGTGAAATAGTGGCACTTTTATCATGGGGCTACCAATCAGCTGTCTAAGTGAAATTCATGCTTGGTACTGTAAAACTAGCCAACTACTTGTGCCTGGAGAGGTCATAGACTTGAGAGGAGAACCCATGACTGCCATGTTTCAAAACCAATATAACTTCTAACTGTATTCTAAACACAGGTAAGTGTAGTTCCTATACAAAGAAGCTTCTTTCTTTTTCCCTTTGCAACAGATAGAGACTATCCATTAAAAGATATAGAGAATAAGGGACTGTGGGTTCCAACTGATATATCTGCAATGTAACTACAACTCCTAAGGCTCACAGAAAATCATGAAAGATGGGGAAGAAAGATTGTAAGAGCCAGAGGGCCATGATGCTTGATACAAGATAGTGTTCCCTAGAAAGGAAAGGGGAAATCCACCCATGGAATGTCAACAAGATGGTTACTTGAACGAGACAGTGTAATTCAACCCAGCAGCTTGTTAGGTTGTAACTAATCCTCTTCAATAATGTTTAACTTTGGTTTTGGCCTTCAAAGGTCACCCTCAGGAGCATCCCCATTTTACAGGTGAGACTGGGGCCTATGGGGGTGACTGTAAGGAGGATGGGACAGCTAGGAAGCTGTAGAGTAGAGGCGTGAACACGTGCAGAGCATGGACACCTGAACAGCATGCTCGAGTGTACATCTTCCACGGGGCTTGGTTGTGAGCAGCGCGTGGACAGTGACACCAAGGTCAGTGGCTTACCAGGTGAAGGAGCTGTGTCCTTCCCAGTTCTCCTGTTCCTGTGGACTAGGGCAAGGAAGAAGGATGATTTCCGTGCTATTTATCTTTGCACCTCTCTAACCTTTGCTAATCTCTTGTTTTAACAACAGAGCTTGCCTCTCCCTCAGAGCCTTTGCTAGGCAACGGCTCCTAAGTAGAATTTAATATCATCGCTTTTTCTTCCATCTCCTATTAGCTCTTATGTGGTTAATTGTGAGTTACATTTACTTAAGTAGGAGAAGGGGTCATTGAAATGACCCACAGAAAGGACCACGGATACTTGAAATTTGAAAAACACTGCCCTACATGCCACCAAGACCAGTAAATGGAAGCTACACAGAAATAGCTTCAACCCGTAATAGATGGGATTTTCTAACAATCAGACTTGCCGGGAAGATGTTCAGGGATTGTGTGCATGAGTGTGTGTGTGTGTGTGTGTGTACCACAATTTCTTTTCTTCCCGTTTTTTTTTTGTTTGTTTGTTTGTTTATCTGTTTGGGTTTTTTTTTTTTTTTTTTGAGATAGTGTTTCTCTGTATAGTCCTGGCTGCCTGGAACTCATTTTGTAGACCAGGCTGGCCTTGAACTCACTGAGACCCAACTGCCTCTGCTTCCTGAGAGCTGGGATTAAAAGTGTGCCACCACAACCCTGCTGTGCCTTGTTCTCTTTACTCCAGAGGAGTTGAGACAGGGATTTCCAATGCTGCTGAATAACACTGTGTGGGTGAGAAGTCGAATTATAGATAGAGGCTTTGAGTTCCTGCCAGCCAGGAGCAGAGGAGGCTTGGCAGCAGAGATACCCAGGAACCCGACTCTAGACAGACAGACAGACAGACTTCAGAGTCACTTATGTTAGCTCTCTTTAGGACAAAGATGGAGTGTGCCCACAGCAGCAGCAGCTGCTGCACAGCATGGCCGATGCATGGATAACAGAGTGTCAGCAGCCGCTTCGCAAGGCAACTGTTCGGTGAGAACCTTTTGGCAGCTTTTAGACATCTTGGAGCGCTGGATTGTATTCCAATCATTTAGTGGCTAATTACACCTTCTGCTCATGCATAACCATTTACAGCCATCCTGTAGGGATCCCGGGATGGGCACCTTCTTCCTTTCACACATCCTCAACTCTGGTCCCTAGGCTGCCCTTTAGGAGGCTTCCCCTGTCTCCAAAGCAGCTGCCTCTGCGGTTCCATTAAGCCTTTGGGTCCTTCTATGTGTAATTTATAAACTAAAAAGGGGACATGGATTCTCAACAGTTTAAACAGGCCTATGATACTTACTGTGCAACTGTACGCTGCAATCACCCTATGGCTCTGGACGATTAGGTTCTCAGGGTAGCCTGAACATCGCCGGGGCGCTTACTTAGGATACATTTTGCTTTGCCAACTACAATCCCTGTCACTCCCTCCTCAAGGCTGCTCATAAAAGTGCTATTTTCCTAGCTTTACTGGACTGCAAGGAAACTTTCTAACTTCTTTCATCTGACAGTAGGTCTTAAGAATCTGGACAGGCCTTGCTTGTCTTCACCCAGCCTGTCAGCACTCCTGCTGTGGAATGAGGCTGCCACCAGAAGCTGAAAGGTCAGAGTTCAGAGAGCCTCTGGGTAAAGGTTCCTGGTAAAGGCTGTGTACTTAGAAAGGACATGGGAGTGAAGAGGTCCTTCTCCAACGGCCCACCCGTGCACCTCCCACAGCCCACCATGTCTCTCTTTGTCTGGAATCTGTGATAGCTTTTGTGACACACTGGTAAAAAAACACAATTCTTTCCTTGAGTTCTGTGAGCTGCTCAGTGAAAGGAGGGGATTATGAGAACCTTGATTTCTGGCAGCTCCGCCAGCAGTGATGGTGAAACTGCCTTGTTTAGGACTGACATCTAAAGTGAGGTTAGCCTTGGGGACTTAGTCCTCATCCTGTGGGGTCTGATGTTATCTCTGCATAGATAGAACCTGTTGGCTGATTTTTGTCAGCTTGACACAAACCAATCAATACACACCTGGGAAGAGAAAACCTTAACTGAGGAATTGCCTCCATCTGAGTGGCCTGTGGGCATGTCTGTGGGGTCATAGACTTAATTGCTCCCTCCTGTTGTGGGCTGTGTCATCTCAAAGCAGGTTAGCCTGGGCTGAGTAAGAAAGGAGAGAGGTGGCAAGCACTGTTCCTGCACAGCCTTGCTCCAGTTCCTGCCTTAGTTTCCCTCAATGACAGATGGTAACCTGTAAGCCAAATAAACTCTTTCCTCGGCCTGGTGTTTTATCACAATAGAAAGCAAACTAGAACAGCATCAGAACCGGATTGAGTCAGAGGACACACGGCTACAATCTGCCGAAGAATTGCTTGCTTACTGAGGAGAGAGATCCTCAGTGAGGTCAGAGAAATCTTCCTTGTGGATTATTGTATGAGAGCAGAAGAGAAACAGACTTTGTTTTTGCTAAACACAGTTTCTGACTGCCAAAATCTCTGGCCCGTAGGAGCTTGTTTGGCAGGTGAAGGGACAGAACATTTCCACAGCCCCATGGAAGGGCTTGCAGCTTCCTTCCACTGGCATGAATTAGCCGCATCCAGGGGCAAGTGTGCCCAGCTGTCAGGAAACGCTCCAGGTTAGAAAGGTCTTTCCAGAGTCAGGCTGTGGCGATGACTCAGTGGCTAGAGGTGCCTGGCACACGAGCGTGAAGGCCAGAGTTTGAGCCTCTGGAATCCATGTAAAGCTGAGCATAGTTGAGACAAAACGAGAGACCCCATCTCAACCAAGGTGGGAGGTGAGGCCCAACTGGTCTCTGACCCCCACATACCCTGGCACGCTCACATATGAACATGCATGCACATATATGATCCTCACGCACGTACACCAGGTTAGCTATTCCTTCCTTAAGCCTGGTATAAAGACCTCCTGAGTGTTCTACAGCCTACTTGGAGGCCAGTGCAGATGAGGATAAGGGGCTAAGAGACTTTCGATATTTCATCCTTTATCCCAGCTTATCCAGGTCCCAGAGGATGATGGGACACTTCTAAAAGGGTCCCACAGCTCCAGTAAGTCACCCATTCTCTTGGTTAGAGAGGCCATGGCAACCTAAGAAGCCGCCCTCTAACCAGCGTGCCTTCGAGGACCTTGTCTCTGTTTCTGCCTCCACTAGTGCTGGGATTACAGGTGTGTGCCACCGCGTCAGGCTAGACTATATTTTTAAAAAGCGCAGAAGTGGTTCAGTCCTCATATGCATCCCTACTAACTCCCATTAACTGATTTGCCAGATAGGACAGTCGTTACTGGCCTGGCTAGAATAAGGTTAAAGGATCCCCCCCCCCCCAACCGTGAACAATATTTTTTTTCCAACTCAAGGCCCCAGAGAGCCTTCAGTACTTAATCAGTAAATTCTTCTGTAATAGGCTTTTTAATTCCCCGCTGTAACCTTGCAACACCCCAATTTTAGCCATTAAAATTATCCCTCAGTATGCCCTTCTAAGGTCTCTTTAAAGTGATAATAGCCCTTCCTTTATTTCCGGGCTCACTCTGTCTATAGCTAAGTCCCTGGGAATTAGGTATCATCTTTGGTCATCTTTGAGAGCTCAGGACTCAAGAAAGTTGGAACTTACTGTAATCAGACCCTAAAATTTTCCACTAAGAACTCAGCCAGGAAACGCCACCAGCAGCCTCTCTTAGATCACGAGGTCCCCACTGAGTAGGTTAGTCCTACCACCCTTAGGCCTGGCCGCTCTCTTGGTACTCTCTCATGTTCTGCTTAAGAAATCTTAGCCTAAGTAAGTCAGGAATATTTTCTCTTCTGGCATATCTTAGGAACCTGTTGTTCTGTCTTTAAGATCTCTGACACACCTGGACTTGATTCTTGTAGGGGCAACTTTCATTTTTTTTTTTTTCAAGTGAATATTCAATGGACCAGTTACTGAAAATACTGTTTTACCTACTGTTCTGTCACTTCTGTCAAAAAAAAAACAAACATCCATATCTATGTTTTTTATTGTGTTTCATTGATCTATTACCTGATTTTCAATACTACAAAAATATCACAGTCTTGTTTTTTGTGGCTTTATAATGAATCTTGAAATACAGTGTATCAATTTCTCCAATTTCATTTTTCCTTGGAATCATCTTGGGTTCTCTCAGCCAAGGGGATTGTTGATCTCATCAAGTTGACAGTTGAAACTAGCCACCACAGAAGGCAACTTGATGTTATTATCCCAAAGCCAAAATTTGCATATTTCTTGATTTAGTAATTTCACCTCTAAGACTGTAGTGTCTAAAAGACTTCAATCCTAGGAACATCTTCTGCAGAAGGTAGATAGTATTTTTATAGAGACCTTTCCTTGAACAGAGGAATGGGGGTTCCTATTCCTGCCAATAAAAGTAGAAACCCACTTATTAATATTTATCAAAGATTCAAAACTTCCACACTTTTTGACATGGTAAATTCCTTACTGCCAATTTATTGTGATAAGACTGTCCTAATAATGATAAAAAAGTTTTCTACCTAGAAATGTTCTCAGGTTATTATCCTTATTAGCAAAACACAAGGATTTCTCCTTCTTCTTCTCCTTCTTGTTCTTCTTTTTCTTCTTCCTCTTCTTTTTCTTTGTCTTGTTCTTTTTTTTCTGAGACAGGGTTTCTCTATGTAGCTTTGGCTGTCCTGGACTCACTTTGTAGAGCAGGCTGGCCTTGAACTCACAGAGATCCGCCTGCCTCTGCCTCCCTGAGTGCTGGGATCACAGGTGTGCGCCACCGTGCCCAGCTCACATGAATTTCTTAAAGAGCCTAATGTGAATGTCCACTAAACAATGGAAAAAAACAACATCCAACAGACTGTCACCATACCACTGAAGCTGATAGTTAGAAAAATAATGTGTTATTTTTTTTGCGGGGGGGGGGGACGACCATATTTTGAAGAGAAAAGAAAAGTCACTGAGTAGATTATCCATGAGCTCTTGTCACAGATAAAGTGAGAAAATACGCACTGAACTCAAATGGCCACCACTTAGAAAAGCCCTTTCCAAAAAAAGAGCACCGAGGCATCCATATCTGCTTATTTCTCCATTCTCTGTCTCCTGGTAAGCAGGAGCTGCCCACTGGTCAGCTCCTTGCAGTCTGCCTGCACAGCTGACTTTCTCTCTCTGCTCATCTCTGGCTTCCACTGTTTCTCTCAGCATCTGTAGCTGGCTCTGCCTTTGTCTCCGACCGTCTTCACAGGGACCACCCTTCTTCCTTTGATCCCCAAGACTTCAGGAACACAAGGTGGCTATGCCCATAGTTGTGTGCAACACAAAAACATTTTAGTCAAGAGCATACCACATCCGTGACCACTGTGAACCCACAAGATTATGAGAGAGCTGAAAATTTTCTGTCACTCACTGTTTTTTTTTTTTTTTAATATGGTTTTCCATGTTTAGATACACAAATAGTTTTCATAACCTTACAATTGCCTATGGCCAGTACAATAGTAATCTACACAGGTTTGAAGCCTGGAGCAACAGGCTATCCATATAGCCTAGGAGTGTAGCAGGCTGTCTAACTTTGTATAAACACTATATACTCTATTGCATCTATACATTGACAAATTCACCTGGCCACATGCTACTCAGACCATCGGCCATCGTTAATCATGTGACTATTAAATTCTTAAGGAATGGTTAGGAGGAGACTGGTCACAGGAAAGTGGAGGATTGAAAAATAAGTGAAAAAAGCACTGAAATGAATGTACGCTAATGTTGACCAAGCTTAGTTGGTTGCCGTCCCTCAGTGGGGTATTGCTGCCAACTGTGAAGAAAGTAAGGTGCTTTCTTTCCCCTTTTAATGAAGAAAATCATATCCATTTCTGAACTGAAAAAAAAACACAATTATTTAAGTTGCTGACCACCATCATAGGTGGTCCTGCCAAGAGCTTTGCTCTCTGAGGTTAGGCCTGCCTGGATTGAGGGGATAGGACCTCTACCATCTGCCGTGACCGTGAGGGTCGCAGCTTGGGCC